TATTCAATGCTTAGTTTATTGTTGAGCAGGTAAAGCAATAATATTTTTGGCCCTCAAGTCCTTCTGACTTCATGATTTTGGCCCATGTGACAAAATATTTCCATACTCCTTCATAATGGGGGGAAATCCCTGTAATTTACTGACAATCTGTACAACTTGACATGTTATATTTTWAATTAGTTTAAGAATACATTTGAAGGAGGAACCATACATTTATGACTTTCATTATAAACTCTAGGAGAACAGGTACTGGGGAACACAGGTATGTTTTTCAACCTTTTACCATCCCACTGCTGACATGATGGTAGTGTTGATGCTGATGATGGCTGCCTTGTAACTGACAGCTGCCTCTGTTTTTGGTTCTTTATAAGCTTAAATGGTAAATTACAATATTTTAGCCTCACTTGAGCAAAAGTGAACCATCGTATCGAAATGAGGATTAAGTCAAATTTGGTCAAAATGACCTAATTACATTTTCAGATTCTTGTCTTTAAAAGCTACATTTTGACACCTGGATCATTCTGATATAAGTGGATCCAGAGATATGATGTAATTAGTTACAATAATACATTACTGTTTGGTCTGAATCCTAATTTTATGTAAATTTATTCAGTAATTTTTGATGTTAATATAAAGAGGAAACCTCAAATAGTATTTGTATATTAAGACTTCCTAGTTGGAAAGAAACAAAAACATTGTTAGCTCAAGGAAAAATTCAAAATTTTAAGTAAATTTTCCTCAAAATCAGTTTTTTTTTTGTTGCTACTGCTCAAAAAATGATTCAAAAATGTTTTTTAGGATTATATTTCAGATAGTTCATTCAAATGATGCGTTGATAAGTCATTTATTCTTTATATTTTGACAAAATTAAAATTTTTATGTGCCTATTTCTCCACTTTTGGACTTAATCCTCATTTCGATGCGAGGGGTCACAAATACATTTACAGTGTTATCAATTTGTTCACAATTTTAAAACCTTAGACAAAATTAACCAAATAAAATTGCACGTGTTTTGTTGTTAATAAGTGGAGAATCAGGTAAAACTGCAGCAGCAGTGAGGGGTTCTCCTCTGCAGAATCTGGAGCAGACCAGAGACAAATCCAATTAATATGTTTCCTGCAGGAGCCGGTCTCAGTGGATTACACACAGAACCGTCTCTGCTGCTGATCGCTTCATGTTTGCTGTATTGTTGCAGAGGAACCATTAACAGCCTTGCTTTATTTACTGACAGATTAATCTCATACTGGGAGCTGCTGAAGCACAAAATGTGTAAACCAGTCTAGTTTGGGCAAAGAGTTACAAAAATAAAAGCATGAATAGTAAAGTAGTAGCAGTAGTTTAAGGTAAAGTCACTTTCTAGAAAAAGAAATAAACTGAAATAGCTAGAAACAMAAATTTAGGAAGTTGTTTTTAACACTAATGAAAACAAGCTACTACTTTTCACATCTTTTCAAAAAGTGTAAAAAATGTGATGTTGGCTTGTTACTAAGCCATTTACTGATAAAGATTGTTTAATCTATTTATATGATTAAAACTGGTTCATGAAAAAGGATAATTGTTGAATTTTGTGTCCAAGACTAAGAAAATTTGATTAAAACTGGATTTAAAATCAAAAAGACTGAGTTAAGATAAACTGCTTTATGATAATTAGAATTACTACACTGCAAAAACTGTCCATCTAACCAAGTTTTAAAACTTTATATCAGCCAAAAAGTCT